GTCTATTCGGTGCATTGTTTTCAAGGCTATTGTTATACTGATTCACCTGGAACCGTGGTCCAGTGGATAAATCGTTGTCGTTCAAGATACTGAGTCAAGGTAGTCTGAGGAGGGTTAGCGCTTGGATGGGTGACCAATGTAAACATTATTCCTACTCACGCTTTTGCTCCTTTTTTCCGTTTTTCTTTTTTGATTTTTAAAATGAAAGAATTTTTCCCCTGTTTTTGAGTAGCCTATTACTGTCTATCCAAATCCATCAAATTGAAATCTAGTGGAGGAAAATCCCCGAAAAAAATTAAACTGCCGGCTATTTCGGGTGTCTCCCTAGAGGAGTGTCATGACCGACAGCAAGTCAAGAATTTTAAGAAACTAAATGCGGGCAGTTCCAATTATGTTTAAAAATCCAGCTCAATCCGTACGATAACACAAACCAAACAAACCTTTTTATGCTTTCTATAATTGTTTATAGCTCTAGCATTATTTAGTCTCAAGTAAAAGTCTGGCCGAGTAAAAATGACTTAAAACAAGATGAAGGTGATGATCTACCGCGGGAAATCGAAGGTCGCCAACTTTATTAATAGACCTCTTCGGCTCCGACGTAATGTTTTCCCATTTCAGACCACGTCATTCCCTAGAGTATCATTTCTTTGTTTAAGGTTTGCGCTGGGTTGCACATGAGAAGACTTATGAATATGGATACAGCTCAAACAAAGAATCTTATTCTTAAGGGAATGACACGTGGTCTAAAATGGGAAAACATTACCCCAAGCCGAAGATGTCTAATAAACATGAGATTTTTTTCACATCCTACACTCTTTCAGCATAGAATATGGCTTTGAGAAGATAAATTAAAAATGTGAGTAGACAAATAAAAGAAAGATCTTATCACGGCATCTTGAACTTTCTTGGTCAGTTTGTACACCCGAGTAATTCCCAATCCCGCTCTGAGCCTTGAATTCCAGCAACTAACGAAAAAAGAATATATATGCGTAGATATTAATTTCCGAAACGTGATTCGCAGCCCCATCCCCAATCAATCACTTTGATAAATTAGACATTTGATTGACAACTGTCACTTGAATATGAATCAGACAGACACGGGATCTCTGTATCACATGTGCGCAGAGGACTCTTGAGTAGTGCCGTGAAGACACCTGGGTACTATTGCGCAATTATGGCATTTTCTGGCGCGGGAAAATAAGGAGACTCAACGCATTTTTTAGACTGGGCTGCCACAGGCAACCCAGTAATAACCAGACCCCATATTCATCAAGAAAGACCTTTCAAGCTCTAGTCACTTCATGTTGGCGAGAGGAAACGAATCTGATATCTTCTGAGGTGAGAGGCGAGTGTGAGACTATATCTGACACCCACCCTTGAATCTTCGGATCAAATCTAGAGTTTTTTCTGTTGCGCAAACAGCCATCTACTAGTGTTCATTTTTCGATTTTATTATATCGATTTATCATATTAATAATTTTTCGTGCTCTAAGCTTCATAAAATGTTGCTTGTGCAATTCTATAATACTAATATTGCTAATTAATATATATTCTATTTGAAAAATTGATCATTCATTCAGGGAACGGAGAACAATAAAGGCGTGTCAAACATGCCTTGTGTTATAAAATTGTCTTTTTACACTATGATAATCTATACGAGATCCATGTTATATAAATATAAAGTGAAATGTGTGTTTTGAAGGGAATTAGATTAAACAACTTTGCTTCACAGACCAGAAATACTGAGGAACATTGCCCGCCCTGTTGGTTAATATAACAAAAGAAATATATAAAAATCATTCGTTAAATCGACGAACATAGCAAGGCAAGCTAAGGCAGGGAAAGTATTAATACATAAACATTCCCAATATCCAGGAAGTTTGACTTTTTTTGAATTAAAAATTCTCGTCAATATTGTCTACCTTTGAGATGTAAATTTAGTTTTATCAAGCTATTTTTTTCTCGCCAAAAAAAAATCCGAGTTCCATTGCCTACCATTTCTAATACCTCCTATTATAGGGCTTTTCAAAAACTAAGCTCGATAGAAAATATTCTAGTTGCGCGGCATTTTTATGTCAATGCAACCAGATAACTCGATTCTGGCGGGTTTTTTTCTGCAAAAAAGACCAAAACGACTGGCCTTCTAACTTCGCGCGACTATAAATATCTGGTGCATAACAAAACCTACCTAGAGTTACTTAGTTATAAATCTAATTATGTGCTTTTCTGTTAGAAAACTGTAACATATTCCCATTTTAACTGGGTATTTCAATGCTTATATATGGTTTTTTAAACTAATATTATTAGAAAATGTACATGCATGTTGGATATTAAATTATGATTTATGCAGAAAGGAGATTTCACTTAGCATTGCGGGTGGGGAGGGAGGGGGGACTTGCTGGGGGAGGCTGAGTGTACCCCTGGGGGGAGGGTTTGTATAGGTATGAACCATCTGTGAAGGGTATTGGAAGACTCGATTTCTTGATTTTAATGTGTTTAGTGTCCATGACCTGACAGTCGATCTGGATCATGGAGATGAAGTCTTGATCTTTCGTTACGTTGACTGTTGTTCCTGGAAGAAAGAGAACAACATGTTAGTTCGTTTATCAACTTTTTGATTTGCTGGCAATCTCGTACCCAGAGGCTTGCTTTTATATTGTCTAGCAACAATTTGGTACCCATTTTTTCATCTTATGTTTCTGTTAAATACTCTCGATTCGAGTTCTCTTTTGCTCAGAATTAGCCTCGAGTTTGTGCAGAATATTAATGTGTTGACCGTGAAATTTCAAAGTGTTTGTTTTGTTAAAGTTGGCTTTCTTTACTTTACCGTTAGTATTTGTGAATATTTAGGAACGGAAATTAGGCTAAGCCTAAGTAAATGAGTATTAAAATAAAGGAACACTTGCACAGCGATAATTTCGAACACTAAAATGGTTTATTCCGACAATATCGAAAAATCTCGAGTATTTCTAAAATCTAGTCGCACCCTCCCCTCCCTCCCTAATAATACATGACCGTTCAAAAGAGCGTCTACCACAATAACCATAGTGGTTCTAATTACGCGTTGTTTGTTTAGTTTGCGGTTATTCGCGGCAATTTGTGGATATTTTTGCGTGCAGTTTGGTAAAGGAGAGCTATAGAAGTGCGACTTGCTCAAGCTGGTCTTAAAAGATAAATGTCACATTACCGACAAAAAATATCAAATGAGTTATCCGGTCAGCTTTTGTTACTGGGTTGCCTGTAGTATTAAAATGCATCGCGTTTCTCCGTGTGTTTTTTTTTTCAAATACGGTCGAACATCTTTAATACGGACAACGAGGGACCAGAAAAAGCGACCGTATCAGCAGCGTGGTCGTATTAAGAAGGGTTAATTTAATAGTAAATAATATATGGTCGAACCTTTTAATACGGACAACGAGGGACCAGACAAAGCGACCATATCAGCAGCGTGTTCGTATTAAGGAGGGTTAATTTAATAGTAAATGATATATGGTCAAACCTTTTTAAGACGGACGAGGGACCAGACAAAGCGACCGTATCAGCAGCGTGGTCGTATTAAGAAGGGTTAATTTAATAGTAAATAATATATGGTCGAACCTTTTTAATATGGACAACGAGGGACCAGACAAAGCGACCGTATCAGCAGCGTGGTCGTATTAAGAAGGGTTAATTTAACAGTAAATAATATATGAGGTTTCCTTGGGCACATAAAACTAACCGTAACGTACGGTAGATGTCTGTTACGAGTGAGAGAGCGTATGACGAAAAAAACCCCCAAAGTTGTGAGGCAAATATCGTATTTTTATCTATTAAATCATTATTACCATTGGGTGGAGCCATCATCATTAAAGACATCTTAGGTCTTTCAGTGGTGTTACTCTTTGTAGCAGGAAAGACTAAGTGATCCTACAAGGAAACATCAGGTATGAGTACAAACCAAATATTGCAAATCCTGTATGATTGGCTATGCTATTATAGGTCTTTAGTATAAATACACAAGTGATTATTGAAAATCTCGCGCGCTGATTGGTCGAGAAACTCAGATTATCACACGATAATCACCTCCAGCGATAATCCAAAATGACGGCCAGCCGCTTTGTTGCTGTTACTGGGAAAAAAATGTCTTTTATCTTCTTTTTTCCCCTTCTTTTCTTGAAAGAATCACCTGTGTATTTATACTAAAACAATTATTCACCTCAGGCTCGGCGAATATCGGGAATAATAACCTCAACTTCGTTTCGGTTATTATTCCCCGATATTCACTTCGTCTTCGGTGCATAATTGTTAAATAGCGATAGCCCGTCAGTGGAGAGCTGCTCATACCTTTCTAAACGACACGATATACATAGTATCCTCTTGCCTATTGATAGCTTTTGAAAATAATTTCAACCTACAAAAAAAATCATTGTGTTAGGAATCCTAAAATGTCTTTTTGACAAAGGGGATTTCTCTCGTATGGGATTGAATGCGTAGCTTCCCAAAAGGGGTAGAAAATGGGGGTGGTGGGGCTGTGGGGATGGTCAGGGGAGGGAAGAGAAGAGAAGGAAGAGAGAGGAGAGGAGGGGAGAGGAGGGGAAGGGAGGACCTGCAATGAACCCTCATGATTTTGCCTGCCTAAGTAGTAGTTACCCTGTTGGGAGGTTTGCGCAACGTAGTGAGTGTGAGTGGTGAAAGAGGAAGAAGAAGGGCACCACACTTTGAGGAGTGAGCATGACCCTGTCTGTGTGGGAGGGGGCGAGGTACCATGTTGGAAGGTGATAAAGTATAGGAGCAGGTTGGTATAGTTACTCACCAATCAGGACCTCGGAATAGTTGCACTGCATTTTTGCTGGTACTAGCATCAGAAGAGTGTGCATTATGCTGACGAGTAAACATATGCCTGTTGAATCAACAATACTATCAGTTAGAAGTTTCACTAAACGCTTTCTACAAACTATACCCAATCAGTCTGTTCCCAAGTTTTCTCAATATGTATGCGTCGCATAGAGACACTAAGAATGAATAAGGAGATGGCAAAGAATGTTGTTGTACAAAAAAATGGTACCAAGGCGCATTCGTAATGACTTGGCCCACATACATACCACAGGGAAGGAGCGTTTTACCACAGGGATCCCAAGGGACATTTCTGTACCCACCTATTAACTCTTCTTCTTGCTTGAGCTTCGGTACAATTGGGAGCCAATCGTAAGGCAAGCTCCTTGACTTTTGATTTAAACTGAAAACAACAAAATTATTTTTAGAACGAATTTCGTATGACTGTGAAAAACGTGGTACGATTGTGCGGTGCCGTGCCGTGCGGTACGATTGTGCGGCGCTGTGCCGTGCCATACTCTGCAGTGCCGTGCGGTGCCGTGCGGTACGATTGTCCGGTGCCATACCGTGACGATACACCGTACAAGCATTATTTTCGATGAACAGTAATCTCAAAAGCCATGATTTGCTCAATGAAAGCGGTTATAACGTAGAGTGCCGTGCCGAGCAATGTGACATTTTACAGTCATTTTAATTCTACTCTATCTTAAATTACTCTGATAGCTTTTGATAGACTTTGGTAAAAGGTCTAATAGAGGTTTTGCACCATCACGTGCCCACGCCAATAATGCAGCTTGGGCTGCCTGTGGTTAGATGGCAGAACAATAAGATCCCTTTGCTCTTGGGAATTGAATTCTTGTATTGTTCCTGCCATCTAACATGGCTGCCGTCACGTGGTGTTGCAAAACCTATATTCACTTACTTTATTAAAGTGAACTGTCTTCTTTTGCGTTTGTGATAATTTCTCGACTTCATATCTGTGAATCCAGTCCCCAAGTGCTTCGTTTATTCTGGAATAAAAAAAGGTGATGTCAAGAAAAAATTTACAAAGAAAATAACAGACACCTGAGGAAGGAAGCGAGCACATAGAATCAAGGACCGCAGGTGCTGAGATTGGACTATATAAAATAATACTAGTATGGTAAAGTGTAAAAAGGGGCTTGGATTGGAACATTTTGTGGATTTTAGCAAATGGGGCACTCTAAGACTAATTCAATTTAATTCAAACTTGTTAGAGCTGTGCTCCAGGGTCATACATGGACTGTATAGCGGCTGCCAGAGGCGCCTTCACATGCTTTCAGTTCGACCCCGTTGAATTCAAACTGGTTGGAGCTGTGCTCCATGGTCATACATGGACTGTATAGCAGCTGCCAGAGGCGCCTTCACAGGCTTTCAGTTCAACCCCGTTGAGCTGCGCTACTGCTTTACTTGCGGTGGTGACAAGCGATGACAAGTTTTTTTGTTTGTTTTTTTAAAGACTGACCTTAATGACTCGGTAGCATTAACCTTCAAACTTGGGCATATAGTATTCTCTATTACTTTGGTATGTCTCTGTTTATTCAGTCGTTTCATGGTGTTTCTCATTCTTCTTTCTTTCTTAGCCAGGATGGCTTTCTTCTTGTTCATGTCTCCCAGGAAATCCCATTTATTCTTCACAACAATTAAATCTTTTCTCTCGGCATTCATGTTGATTACATTGTCTTTTGGATATCCACTTAGAGTATCTGGGGTATGTCTGGTGTGTTGTTTCCTCAGAGGGCCATATACTAGAGGTTTGTTACTATTAGTGCTGTCTTTATTGTCTCCTTCATACTGGAGTAAGGCCCGGCCATAATGTACTGAGCCAGTTAAGAGATCAGGGGAACTGAACTTCCAAGAATCTCTTAAAGAACTGGAAAGAATGGGAAACTAAATGTGAATATGATAAACAATTACGTTACTATGAATAAATGGGAAGAATGATAGTGGAAAGAACTGGAAAATTGAAGAGGAATAAAATGAATGGGAAAAGTACAGAGTTTAGATGACCAAACAAGAAGTGAATAAATAAATAGATAATGGCAAAAAAGCTGATAGTTGGAAAAAAAATTGAGTAATAAGATGAACATACAAACAGGAATAAAAACGAATAGAAAACTCTTAATTATTATACAAAATAAAATTGAAATAAAAACTTTGAACACTATCTGACCTGAAAGGTCCTACGTTCAGGGCAACAAGAAGAACTATAGCTAACACACAAGTTGATTTTTTGGCAGTTGACGACCAGTTAGGATGGCTGGACTTTAACAAAATATTCTGAAATGACAAATAAAAAAATAGAATCACATAAAGCTGCAAAACATAACAACAGCAACAGCAGTAGAAACAACAGCAACAGCAGCAGCAGCAGCAATAGCAACAACCATAACCACAGCAACAGTGGTAGCAACAACAGCAACAGCAGTA